CATTAAATTTTTAGATAAATCGTAACAATAATTGATCTGCCTTAAAGAGTAAAAAGAAACAAGAGAATCAAGTGAAAAGAAATATCTCAGAAAATCTAAGACGAAGGAGGAGCATACGAAATGAAAGAGAGCTAAAACGCAAGAGGGTGATTCTTCCGGATACGATATTAACGTCTGTTTATATATAGAGAGAGGGAGTGGTCATTATTCTTTATTTATTTTTACTTTTGTTTTATGGAGATAACACTACCTTTTTTTGCCAATTTCAGTGTAAAGATAAATTAATTTGTAACTGCGGATGTGGATGCGGTTATGGTTGTGGTTGTCTGAAATTTTTAGAAGTGAGTACTAAAGGTTTTTGTGAATGGGAAGGTAGCTAAAACCGTTAAGATTACGCGGGAATCTTGAAATTTCAACGAGAAGTTCGGTAATGATATAAAGTAAAATTATCAAAATAATCATACATTAAATAACCAAATATGTAAATATCATAAAAACAAAAAAATTATTTTATTTTATTATAAAAAATTTGATGTGATTTATTAAGTTTTCTTGACACTGGTCAAACTATAAATTTTTTTATACATGTACATTTATGTAACGTAATTAAATATATATTACATATTTAGGGAAGAAAATAATTTAAAGTTTTTTTATGTCAGATTATTTGTCTGAATCGGTTGACCAAAAAGAATTCCTCCGAAGGATTTAATTATATCGTTAATATCTAAAGATATGTGTGAAAACAAATAAATGAAACTAGAATAAAAATCTATCTATTCAATATAATGCGATTTCTTTCTATATAAGAAGAATATGTATTAAACAGGCATGCAAAATGGAAAGTGTGAAAAAGGTTATAAAAGAAGAAGGAAATAAAAAGTAGATTCATGCACTTTAATTTTTTTACAAAAAAATTAGCATTATCTTGAGTTCTTGACCACAAAACCAAATTAGTCGTCCGTTACAAATTGGAAAGGGATTTGCTTGTGACCAATAGTATGAAGATGGTTTACTTTTTTTTTTTTTTTGACAGCGAAGATGGTTTACTTAGTTTTCCAATACTTTAAAGACAAATGGCCCAAACTTTGTCTTTGTTAGATTTTTAAGAGGTCCACATATTATTAACTAATAAAGTGTATGCATGACTGGCAAATTAAGTGAAACGGTTATTGTGGTGTGGCCCTGATTTAAACCAAAATTGAGAAGAAGAAAACAAAGTATACATGTCATATAACGTTGGTGCGCTTCATGTGTGCCACGTGTTGTAATTAAGTTAACTAGATTACGATTCTTATCAAAAACGTCACAAAATTTTAACATTTGTCGATGAATTGTATTTTTAAAATCTGAATTTAAGAAATTTTAGTAATAAAATATTTCCTAATTAATTTGATTATTTTCTATCTTAAGATTATTATTTTCGATTTTTTTCTAATTGTATTTTTTATATCCTTTTTTACTTTTCAAAAATATAAATCAACAGGCTAACAACAAAATAACAAGTACATAAAACGAATAAAAATATCATATATATGTATGTATTGTATATCATTATGGCCATATTGTATAGCATTTTATGGGGAAAAATAAAAATGAAAAATTCCTTAGCTTAGAATAAATTAAAATACATTTCATAATAGAGTGATATATACAACAAGTTTGTCAATTCTTATTTTCTGCTGACCTTTTTTTAGCTAAACATATAGTTTTAAGTAATTTAATTTGGTTCTTATGTCACATTTTAATAAATAATTTCATTTGGATTCAAGAAAACTGATGGCGACAGTTTTATTCTCGTCCAATCTTGAGATTTACATATATTTCGAGATATGTCATAGTTAGGAATTGTTTTTATTTGGTTATCTATATTAACATTTTTACAGTACTTTTTTGCTTTAATTCTTTTGGATCCGGGTTTGATCCGGTTTAATTCTGTTCGGATCTAGAATAAGAGATTTAAGGGATGTTGTATTAATTTCAAACTAATAAATAAAGCCATGTTGTCTTTAATTCTTCTACTTATTCCGTTTAATGTTTCTTTAATTACAAAGAAGTTACCTATTTTAATGGTAAATAATCTTTCATATTAATGACCCTAATAAATAGCCAATTTTAATGGAAAATCGTTTTTCATATTTATGCTCATAATAAATGTCCAGATTTTAACAATAAATATATTATGAAATTATAAAGAAAAATGTATTTATTTTTAACAGTATATATATATATTATGTTAATATATATATATATTATGTTAATAAATTTGTGTAAATACTCCAATAATAAGCTACGTCATTTTTCTTTTACAATAACAGATTAAATATAGGCAATTCCCCATTTAAATTGTAATAAATTTAAAATCAAAATAACAATTAATATATACATTCATAAGGAAATCATAATAAAATATGTTTATTTGAAGATTATATATCCTAATCTTCACATAATCCGTAATTATGTTTTTGATATATTTGAATATCTAATATTAAATTTCTAAAGGATTCTCAAAATATTTTTTATAATAAATATTGTTTTTACGAATAATATTTTGTTTTGTTATAAAAAGTAATATTTGTTATTTTTCTAAATTATTTTTGTAATTAAATTACATAAATATTAATAATAATTTGTCTACACCATCAAATGAAAATAGTTAGTTATATAATCTTTTATTTAATATTACGTAATATATATATATATATATATATATATTTTGGTAATATTTTATGATGTGGGTGAACAAATTATTTTCATATTTATGTAAACAAAACAATAAAATCTAAATTAGTTTAAAATTTGAGATACTATAATCCCAAAAATAAAACTAATTGGACACTAATCGCAACAATCATTCTACATAAATAGCATATTCTTTACAACATTACTAAATCGCATTTACTGCATTATTCGTTTCCAATTATGATTACAAATCTTTGATTAATTTAATGGTATTAAACTCATATCTACATATACATTTTTACAGGTTTTTTTTGCTTTTAATCATTTGGATCCGGGTTTTACCCGGTTTAAACATATTCGGATCTAGAATAAGAGATTTAAGGAATATTGTAATAAAAACGACATTTAAGACTAAATTAAACATACAATTCGTTTTAATCTTATTTCCTTAACTACTTCCCACATTAATTGGTTCTATTCCTTTTTATCAATAGTAGCATTTAATATTTTTCGTTTACGAATCTTGCAAAAATCTCTGCTTAGTCCACGATTAGTTTCTAAAATAAAATCTCCGAGATATTTGATAGCATTTAATTAATACCAAATTATCATTTAATTCTACATATCTCTAACCAAAAAAACGTCATTAATATAGATAATTACACATATATTTATGTTTCCTTATTCCTTAACTTCTTCCCATATTAATAGGCTATATTACTCTTTATCTCGAGATGATTTTCGAATATTTATGCCATCTTAACTAATTATATCCATACCATATATCATCTATATTCTCTTTATATTATGCAATAAAATATTTTTAAAACATAATTATGGCTAATTAAATTCTTTCCATTATATGGTTCTCTTCTCTAATTGAATCCATAATTCCCGCCCAAGAAAATCTCAACGATGATACCATAATTATATACTTTTCGATATTTTTCTTAACATTTGATTTTAAGAAACAAAGTTATGACTCTAATTATTTTTTTAATTCGGTTTAATGTGATTTCCTAAACTAATTACCACATTAATCGGCTATATTCCTTTTAAATGGTTGCTTAGCTTTTTTTTAAGATTCTCTGCAAAACCAAATCATTTACAATCTTTTTCAAATAAATTTGTTATATAACGATTTCCTAATCTTTCCTTAAACATATCCTAAACTTTCGTTGTATATAATATCTTTGATTTTCTACTTTCTCTCCAAGATATTATCAAACTACCTTAACAATAAACTTAGATGCCTACCTACCCTATAAATACCACACTTTTACTCGACTAGAAGACTCATCAAACAAATACCTCTTCTTACTCATTCCAATCTTTATTTGTTATATGAACTTTCATTTTTCTGATTCATGAATTTAATAAACATTTGATGTCTTGCGCAGATAATCCTATACAAGATGAGCAACCCATTGATGATTGCCATTATCAAGAGCATATGCTTTAAATTTACGTCAGATTCTTTCATATGGTTAGTTTTTTTTATTCACCCTATTTTTTCTAGGTAAATCTTCAGGATTAATGATAATCTTAATATATATATAAGATAACTACAGTTTGATAGCATTGATTTTTAAAAAACTTAAAAGAAAAAATAAAAAACGAAAATACAAACTATAAAAAAGTCTAACTTTATTAAACGTTTTAATTATTTATAATATTATAACTTTTATGAAGTTTCAAATATTATAAATATTTGAATTTTATAAGAATTTATAAGTAGTTTAAACATCATAAATATTTATAAAAGATATTAATACGAGACGGTATACTACGGGTGAAATCCTAGATATAACAATCAAAATACAATTATGAAGTTTGTGTCGTATTAAAACTTTTATGAAGTTTCAAATATTAGAAATATTTGAACTTTATAAAAAAAATTACAAAAATGATGTTTAATTTCACGGGACGGGGTTATATAGTGGGACGGATTTAGATCGATATTAATACGGGATGGTATATTACAGGTGAAATCCTAGAATTAGCGATCAAAATACAATTATACAATCTTAAACACTAAATAAAACAAATACAACTTAAATTTTGATTTTTTAGTTATAAAATATTGACATGCGGTTTACCATATATCTATAGATCATTCTAAAAAAATCATTTTTTTATTTAGGGAAAATATAGACCCGCGGTGTACCGCGGGTTAATATCTAGTATCTCTGAGAATCATTGATCATTTTCGCTCCAGTTGATAAACGTTTTTTACAAAGTTTTATATATAGTTAAGTTAAAAGTAACACGCTTTTTACAAAGTTTTATATATAGTTAAGTTAAAAGTAACAGCAAAAGCTTTCATAGCTCAGTTGGTTAAAGCACCCGTTTAGTAAGCGGGAGGTCTTGAGTTCAACTCTCAATGAAAGCAATTTTTTGTTATTTTAAAATTAAAATTCCCCTGTTTATAACCCCCAGTCTACATGCAATCTTTGAATGACATTAACAGGCTGGCCATGATAAAATTCGAATTAGACAACAAAACTCTTAGTGGGAAAATTGCTGATACGACAGTAACAACACCTCATGTGAAACAAACATCCCAAACAATTAAGTAATAACAATATATAACAGTTATAACTTATTCTATAATAACTAACCTATTGAGTTACACCAAAAAAAAAAAAGTGTAGTTATTGTGATACATAAACTTTATTATTATTATTTTTACTGGATTGATAGTTTGATACACATACTAATCTTGACCGTGAGATGTGTAATATTCACCGAAATGTTTCAATCTTAAGTTGGGTTTGTAATGCAGGTTTTGGGAGTTGTTCGCAAAAAGAGAAGGATGTTTCTCTTTACGCTTGGGCCTGTGGCCTTTTTGGGCTTTGAAAGACCTTGTAAGTTGACGTAAAAACACGCATATCATTTGGAGGATTTTAAAAAAAATACTCACCGAAGTGTTTTTTGGTGATAATGGGCTCTCGTATAAGAACAACCCATATGCCAATCCTTGCACTGCATTTTTTAATCACCAAAAGTCTTTTCCTTTTTGCTTCTTCTCTGCAAAACAAAAGGTTTGGGAGTGCAAGTACCACCAAAAACGTTGTACTAGACCATCAGCTACTGGAATCGAAGCAGAGATTAAATATCTCAATCATCATCATCATTATGATGCTCTCGGCGGAAGATGCAGCCTGTCCCAACGTACATAGGACCTTGAAGTCTATCCAAAGCTCTCTCATACTGACAGTCTCGTGGTTAGTGTATACTTAAGAGGATCGGATCACAAAATCCATCTATGATTCTTCGAAGCCCTTTATATAGTTACCTCTTTCGTGCATATTATAAGCACCATCAGAGATCTTCACCTTAATTTAACTCATCACATTCTCTCACATAAACAAAAACAAAAAAAAGAAAAGAAAAGGAAATCTTTATGTGACCGTTAATTGTGATTACAGAGAAAGGAAATCTTTATGTGACCGTTAAGGATTGTGATTATTAGTTTCCTTTTCTTTTTGGACCTCTTTTGCTTATAAATAAATCTCTCAACGCTAATTCTTATTCTTCCCTTTCAGAGAAATCAAAGCTTCTTCTTCTTCTTCTCGAGCGAAAGTCTTAATACAGAGACTCTGTGAATTTCCTTTTTCTTTTGAACATCTTTGCTTGTAAACACTCTCTCTCTCTCTCTCTCACGCATTCTCTTAACGCTTCTTCTAATTCTTCCTTGACAGAAAAAAATCAAAACTCTCTATTTCTGGCTTCTTCTTCTTCTCGAGCAAAGTCTTTATAAAGAGACTGTTAATTCCGATGATGATGATCTCAAGTAGAGATGAAGTAAAATCCGCAGTCTCTCAACGCTGATGATGATCCCAAGTAGACATTGATGACGTAAAATCCGATGATGATCTCTGCAGATACGTCGTTTCATTGATTGAATGATGATCTCCATCAATCCTCTGTCGTCTTCTCTCTAAATCAAGATCGATTTCAGTTCGCCGGATTATGACCTAGCCACCGAGCCGCTTTCACCGGAGACTACGAGGAACAAAGAGGATATTGAAGAGAATTGGTGATATGTCAAATTTCAGAACAACCACAAGCCGCCTGAGGATATCTCCAGGTACTTTCTTACCTTTTTTTCTCTATTTTTTTTTGTAATAAATAAAATATAATGATTTTGATGTCAAAAAAAAAAACATTTTTTTAGGGTTTTCACTTCTGATTGAAAACTTAAACTAGATCATTTTTCAAAATTAGTTCAAGTGTTAAATTTTTAGATATTTTAGATAAAACACTTAAACTTTAAGAAAATAAGTTTAAACTTTAAGAAAACAAAATAAGTATAAAGGTTTAAACTTTAAGAAAACACTTAAACCAAAACTATGTTAATTTTACTATTAATTTTTAAAAATTAGTTCAAGTGTTAAATTTTTAGATATTTTTGATAAAACACTTAAACTTTAAGAAAATAAGTTTAAACTTTAAGAAAAATTTAAGAAAACTAAAATAAGTATAAAGGTTTAAACTTTAAGAAAACACTTAAACACTTAAACCAAAACTATGTTAATTTTAATATTAATTTTTAAAAATTAGTTCAAGTGTTAAATTTTTAGATATTTTAGATAAAACACTTAAACTTTAAGAAAATAAGTTTAAAGTTTGAGAAAACTAAAATAAGTATAAAGGTTTAAACTTTAAGAAAACACTTAAACACTTAAACCAAAACTATGTTAATTTTACTATTAATTTTTAAAAATTAGTTCAAGTGTTAAATTTTTAGATATTTTAGATAAAACACTTAAACTTTAAGAAAATAAGTTTAAACTTTAAGAAAACTTTAAAAAAACTAAAATAAGTATAAAGGTTTAAACTTTAAGAAAACACTTAAACACTTAAACACTTAAACCAAAACTATGTTAATTTTACTATTAATTTTTAAAAATTAGTTCAAGTGTTAAATTTTAAAAACGTAGAAAACTAACCGCGCCTAGGCATCTTGTCCTTAGTTGGTCCGTAAGCTTTGGTGTTCGAAGTTCGGCATGTTTTCACGTAATATAAATTTAACATTTAAACTCATTTTAAAAAATTTATAATGATTTTTACTAAATTTTAAAACAAATTTAACACTTAAAACTTTAAGAAAATAATGTTTTTAACCAAAACCATGTTAAATTCACTATTACTTTTTAAAAATTAGTTTAAGTGTTAAATTTTAAAAACGTCAAAAACTAACCGCGCCTAGGCATCCAGTCCTTAGTTGGTCCGTAAGCTATGGTGTGCGAAGTTCGGCATGTTTTCACGTACTATAGATTTAAGACTTAAACTCATTTTTAAAAATTGATAATGACTTTTCACTAAAATGTAAAACAAATTTTACACTTAAAACTCTAAGAAAATAATGCTTTTAACCAAAACCATGTTAATTTCACTATTACTTTTTAAAAATTAGTATAAGTGTTAAATTTTAAACACGTCAAAAACTACCCTCGCATAGGCATCTTGTCCTTCGTTGGTCCGTAAGCTATGGTGTGCGAAGTTTGGCATGTTTTCACGTAATATAGATTTAAGACTTAAACTCATTTTTAAAAATTGATAATGACTTTTCACTAATATTTAAAACAAATTTAATATTTAAAATTTTAAGAAAATAATGCATTTAACCAAAACCATGTTAGTTTTACTATTACTTTTTAAAAATTAGTTGAAGTGTTAAATTTTTAAAAACGTCGAAAACTAACCGCGCCTAGGCATCCTGTCTTTAGTTGGTCCGTAAGCTTTGGTGTTCGAAGTTCGGCATGTTTTCACGTAATATAGATTTAACACTTAAACTCATTTTTAAAAAATAATAATGATTTTTGCTAAAATGTAAAACAAATTTACAACTTAAACTTTAATAAAATAACGCTTTTAACCAAAACCATGTTAATTTCACTATCAATTTTTAAAAATTAGTGGAAGTGTTAAATTTTAAAAACGTCGAAAACTAACCGCGCCTAGGCATCATGTCCTTAGTTGATTCGTAAGGTTTGGTGTTCAAAGTTCGGCATGTTCTCACGTAATATAGATTTAACAGTTAAACTCATTTTAAAAATTAATAATGATTTTTACTAATATATAAAACAAATTTAGCATCCCGTCTTTTTTGTTCGTAGGTCTTGCAGTGTCATAAATTCAACACGTTTCCACGTATTTTAAATTTAACACTTAAAGTTTTTAACAAATAATATTATAAGTAAATTGTTTTTATTTTTAAATAAAAGTTAATTACTATACAAAATATTTTTAATAAATGTTTTCAAACTTAAGTGTTAGATTTTAATACCTGAAAACAAACCGGATTTAGCATCCCGTCATTTTAGTCCGTAAGTCTTGCGGTGTTATAAATTCAACACGTTTTCACATATTTCAAATTTAACACTTAAGGTTTTTAACAAATAATATTTTAAGTAAATTATTTTGATTTTTAAATAAAAGTTAATTACTTTACAAAATATTTTTATTAAAAAAATTCAAACTTAAGTGTTGATTTTAATACGTGAAAACACACCGGATTTAGCATCCCGTCTTTTTGGTCCGTAAGTCTTGCGGTGTCATAAATTCAACACTTTTCACGTATTTTAAATTTAACATTTAAATTAAATTTTAAGGTTTTTCACAAATTCTATTTAAAGTAAATTGTTTTGATTTTGATCTAATAGTTTTTTACCATACAAAATATTTTTATTAAAAATGTTTTCAAGCCTAAGTATTAAATTTAAATACGTAAGTTTTGTGGTAATATAAATTCAATACGTTTTCATGTATCGTAAATTTAACCCTTAAATTTAGTTTTAAGGATTTTCACAAATAATATTTTATCTAATTTTTATTATAAAAAAGGATTGCCATTTAAAAAAATAGTAGGTCAAAAAAAGCTCGAAATTAAAAATCAATCGCTCAAAAGAAAATATCACTCTTGTAGTTGGTTCAACTTCAAAACATCGGCACACATCACAAGACCACAAAGCGACTACTATTAATACACACTAGGAATGGATCCACGCAACGCGTGGGTTTAATAATATATATTCAATTTTTTTATAGTTTTGTAAATTACATTATTTTAAAAAAATTTTATTTAAATACTATTTAAAATATATATGTAATTCTATTGGTAAAAAGCGGTTATATAAATATAATATAAATGTTATAAGTGATAATTGTATAGATGTACACGTCTATTTATAATATGCTACATATATTAAACGTTTTTTTTTGTATTTGACTTAGTATCCTATGACCGTTCATTTTATATATTCTCTTTCAGTGCATGAATTCTTATGAATAACATTTTTTTTATAATTCTAGAAACTCAAATGTGATATTTTAAATGTGAATTTAGCTTTCTTTAGGAATTTAGCTTTCTGAGACTAATTTTGTCACTATTATCTTTCTTTTTACTTTTTTTGTTTCTATCTTATTAAATTCAATGTTACAATTGTGCTCTTTCTACCTCTTTTTGATATTTTTAAAATAAACTTTTATATTTTTAATAAGTGCATAATATTTGTATTACTATCAAATGCATTTATACATTTACTTATATAAAATTTTATATTATATTTATAAAAAGCTAAAATATTAAAAGTATACATAATTATATTTTAGTTTGTTTTAAATTATTATACACGATACTATTTAGCTATATTTTAATATTTTGTTTAGTGTAGTTTACAAAATAATCGACTATTGTTTCAATTAGTAATATGTCATAAGATTCATCACTAATTCACTATATAGTTTTTTAAGAAACTAAAAATGTATGCCTTTTCAACTTTCATAGAATTTTAGAATTACCCAACATATTGATTTTTAAGTATTTCATGATTCATTACTATATTTGTTTTTTGAAAGCTAATAAATGTATGATCTTTCAACTTTCATACAATTTTTGCAATATCCATCATATTGATTTTGAATATATCAATTTTAGCTGAAATATCCATCATATTGATTTTAAATATATTAATTTTAAAACGGAAATGTTTATAAAATTTTAAATATGATTAATCTTAAACATTTTCTCGCTAAAATTTAATTTCTATTATTATGTATAAGTTTATATTTCTTTGTGTTTTACTTATAATATTAATTCATTTATATTTAACTTAAGTATTTTTAATCATAAATAACAATAACTAAAAATAAATATGTATTGAATGAGCATTTAAAATAAATTATATTTTTAATTTTTAATTAAATGCATGCTTAGGTGAATGATGATGTTGATAGCTTAGATGGGGAGAAGACTACATTATATTATTATGTATAAATTTATATTTCTTTGTTTTTTACTTATAATATTAATTTATTTGTATTTAACTTAAATATTTTTAATCATAAATAACAAAACTTAAAATAAATATTTATTGAATGAACATTTTAAATAAATTATATTTTTTATTTGTAATTAAATATATGCTTAGGTGGATGATGATGTGGATATCGTAGATGCAGAGAAGACTCTCCTATTATATATATAGATTTTTTAAACATTAATTGTTGCAAGCAGATTGATTGACCAAAACAGAGAGGAAGAAATAAACAGTCAGGATACGTCGATGTAACTAGTTGGAATATAAATGATTGTACGAATTTTCTACGTTCCTTCGCAAATTTAATTTCCTTTGCCTATTCACAACTCAACGATCTCCTCACTTCTCTCACAACTCAACGATCTCCTCACTTCTCTCACAACTCAACGATCTCCACTTTCTTTCATTTGCGAAAGAAGATTAGTAGATGTCCATAACTTTTTTTTTTTTGCGAGAAGAGAAAAAAAAAACAAATAATTCGTTTCATTTTTTCATATTTGAACAATTATTCAGCTTCATTCGATATTAAGAAACAAATCACGAAAGATCTTCAAATTGGTACATTTTCTTCTCTTATATATGAGAGTTATGTTATAATGATTTTATAATATCTCTGGTGATCAATTGGCAGATTTGCGTTGCCAGAGATGGGAAAGCTATATTTATCTATTTGTTGGCATTGTTGCTACTTTATGTTTTTTTAATCCCAGACTTATGGAGGAGTCCAGACTAATCCTTTGGAGGAGGTGCAACCCACAGATAGACTCTCTTTCCGGATATGCAAATGAGCCGAAAGCAAGGGTCCATATTCATGTGACCAAGTGGAGATCTAACAATTGCGCGTTTGCGGGGAATCGATCCCTGGCCTAGACCAACAGGGCAACTCCTCCACAAGTGGCAACCACTAGACCAAGAACACTTGGTTTATGTTTTTTATGTTAAGATATTAGTTTGATCATTTTTTCTTTTATGTTATGTTTTGATCAGTGACATCTTAAACTATCGGGTTTTGGTTTTTGGAATTAGTTTGATGGCATGTTCTTGATATGTGATATCAACAATGGTTATGTTTGTTTTTCTGGAACATATTTTGAAAGCATATCAAAAAAGAACTTTGAATATCTGATATTTTGTTATTTTATATAGTTTACTGTTTTTTTTTAAATATTTAGATGTATCGGAACGGATATCCGCAAATATCATAAAAAAAAATCTGGATATTTGAATTTCTGGATATCCGCAAATATCACAAAAAAAAAAATCTGAATATTTGCTTTTTGTCGAGGCCTAGTGGGCTGAGTGCGTACCAATAGAACTGTAGAAGAAGGTTTGAAACTTGAGATAGTGATGTGACCAAACAACACAACACACAGTTAAATCATTCTCAAATACTTCCAATGGATGTCCACTGTGCAGCATGAAATTTGCATTATTATTATTTTTTTATTAAGACAAGTTATTTTAGGTGTTTATTGACTAAATTTTGTAGAAACATCCTAAAAATAAAATAATACACAAACATTTCCAAAGGGTTCTTAAACTCTTAGCATTTTTTGGAAATCAATCGTAGAAGAGTCTAAACATTTTTTGAAAAATAAAATAAAAATGTTTTCACGGTGGTTTATTGGAAATGTTATAGAGAGAGCTATGGAGTTCTTCTAAAAAAATAAAAAATTCTTATAATGAAATATTTTATAAAAATACTAAAGAAAAAGCCTCAATAGTAGTAGTAGCAATTTACTGATTTAGTATCAAAATGATGGGACTTGTGTAGAAATGTAGAAGCTTCCCTGACACATTTGTAAATTTTGAACGGTTGAAATCAATGATGGATGGCCTCATTCACCCTTCTCTTGTACTTTCAAATAATTTTTCATAAACGATATCAATTTTTAAAATCGTCAATATACATAGAAAACGAACATAAAAAGAAATGACTTCAAAAAGCTCGGACATCGAGATTTTTTCTCTCTAAAACCTAATCGCCGTTTTTCTTCAACTCACCGTCTTGGCTAGATCGGACCGGCGCGTGGCGGCTCCTACAGCGCCGGCGTCGGTTCCCCTCTCTTGTTTATTGTATTTGCTTTTCTCGGCTGTGAAGCGTGGTGATTTTGGTGAGGTGGATTGGGTTGTGCCGAATCTCAGATCTAGAGAGGTTTGGTTCTAAGAGACTGAATTCGAGGTGCCTTAAGGTAGATGGTGAAGATGGAGTCGCCGTTCTCGTTTATGCCTCATGGTGTGGATCTTCGTCTTGTCTCTTCCCTCACGGATCTGAGCAACAGCGGCTCTGTTCTCGGTGGCTCAGTCCCTCTCTCGTCTCTCCTGCTTCCTCTTTGTGTTTTGTTGGTTGGTAGTATCCTTTCCTTGATTTGGATGGTTTTACCCGAAACATTTGTAGTGACTAGCTTGATCTCTATTTGGTTTTTGGACTTGTTTGCTCTTGCTCCCTGGTTCTTGTGGTGGTCTTTATGGTTTTCTTCCCGGTTCGATCTTGTGCTGCTCTCTTTTGAGATTGGTTTCATCCGGTTGAAGAATTGTCTCGCTCCTTGTTTCTACGTTTAAGACCTGATCGAGGTCTGGTCGGTTCAAAGGCTTCTAATGAGGCGTTCAATCATCGCTAAGTCGATATCGCCGCTTTTGGGAGTAGTATGGGAGTTTAGATGCTTTATCTTGATTCTCTCTTGCCAGAATGGTAGCCTAGGTTCACTTTGTTTTGAAAGGTAGTATTGGTTCACTATAGGAGGATTCGCCAGATGTGTGTTGTGTTTGGCTTTGATCATTTTGGTTCTAGGGAGCTAGTTTTATGGCAAGTCTTTATCTTTAGAGTTATTTTTAGTCTTGCTTTTGTTTTGTCTTTTGGGGTTTTGATCCCAGTTATCTCCATTCTGCTTCCCTTGTTTGGGCTTAGTTTCCGGGGATATATCTGTTTTCCGCCGGCTTTGTTTCTGGAAGAGTTTATCTCTTGCCGGCTTTGTGTACCAAAACCGCATCCCACCCTTGTATCCTTCAATCGTATTATATAATGGAATAATTCAGACGGAAAAAAAAAAAAAAGAAATGACTTAAAATAATTGATTGAATAGCCTATCCGTTTCAGATGTAAAAAAAAAAAAAAGAATAGCCTATCCGCGAGTTATTATAAGCCTCCATCCAAACACGGTCTTAGATTCTTTGATAAATCTATATATACATTTTTGGATGACTTTTAGCAAATAAATCCTGGGGTTGGGAAGTATTTACAAAGAATGCCATTGGTTGGGTGGGTTTTTTGCTCCCAATTGACCCGAAATTGTGGCAATCGGATCTTTGCCAAAAACAAAAATTTTAAACGACATTAATTATTCAGTTACCAAAATCTCGCATTAACCCTATATGGGGTCACTTTGTTACCGCATATCTTCCTCAAATCTTCTTCGAATCTTCACTTAAGCCTTTTGTTTCCCTTATCGATAGATCAATCTTTTATGGTAAGATTTTTCGTGATAAGGAGAGTAACAATGACGATTGATAATTGGCATATTCCTTACCTAAATTCTAATTCCTTTACATTATTCCATAATTGTGATATTTTCTTAAAGATTGTATACTTGCTCAACAAGATTTTCTCTACTCACTCACACATATCCCTATTATCTTCTTAAACCACTATAAATACCTCTCATTCACAGCAACTAAAATCACCAAATCCAAAAAAGAAGCTACTGTGTTTCAGATTCAACAGAGAAATCTGTTTCAATACCAATCTCTTATTCACAGACAATTTACGAGTTTGATGTTCAAATATAGATAAAAATCCTACATGAAGAACAAGATTAGCTTGGGAAGTCCTTACCTCTCCAAAAAAAGAAGGACGCTTGGTAGTGAAGAACCCAGTGGATTGGAATCAGACATGTTTCCTCAAGGTCTCTAAAGATGTTGCTGTTCAAACTGTAAACAAAAGACAAGAACTTTTGGGTATCAAGCTATCTCAGAGTCAAACCTGGACATTCAAGAAATTAATGAAGCTGTTGGAGACTGCATCGAGAATTTCCTCATGGAAGGGTGACGATCAAATTTCCATCTGGCACTGCACTATTTGAATAGCACCCAAAGGGCTAAGCTTGCTAACAATCTCACCAATGCATTTGATATCTACAAACACCAAAATTCAACACTTCAATTCCAACCCAATTTCAAGATTCATACTTTTTAACTGTATCAAACAATGTCTAAAGCTTTAGCCTTTATCCAATTAAGAGTAATGGGTCCTCACAGTGCACAAGCGAAGAAGACGATGAATAACGTAGTGTAATTCCTAGCGAATCGTTTGATTTACTCATGAACTCTAATTCTCGCTTGCTGAGAAGACGTTGGAAACGAATAAGAGTCACAATTGCCAAAGAAACCGGTGGTCCACGGTGGCATATCTCCGGAAAAATCATCGGAGAGCTTGGAGAAAGGGTTAATTGTAAGAAGAGAAGAGACAGTGACGCGTCGAGACAAAAGAGAAGCGAAGAAACCACCGGTAATGGATGTTCATCGTCAGACGCCGCAGAAGTTGCGGCAGCTGAGGATGAAACGGAGGCGGAGGAGGAAGCGGCGGCGGCTGCAGCAGAGGTGCGGTGATCGAGGAGCTCGAGGTAGCTGGAATCTCGGAGCCAAGATTCGAAAGCAGGATCGAGGACGCTTAGAGAGAGAGGATTAGGAGAGAAAGCCATTGTTGTTGTTGTCGCCGCGATTATCCGTGCCAAACCAGTGACGATCTCCATCGTTTAGTCTCCTCGGCCAAATGGGCTTTATTACTAATATGGGCTTCTTACATTGGTTGGATTTTATTCGTATGGGATCTCTAAATATTTGGGCCCATAAAATTTTTTGCAACGCTTAGCAAAGTTTCGAGATCTCTAAATTATGAGATGTTGTGATCTGTGGAACCCGTTATAAAATAAAATATGCAATTTTTGGTGTTGGATATTCATAGTACATTAAGATATGTTTTTAGTAATATAAATAATTTAAAATCTAATAGATATAAAATAAAACTTAACTAACAATATACACATAGTTAGACATAATAACAAATAACATTCTTATACATTCAACAAACTATAATACTTTTTATTAAAAATATTCCAAATATATTTAACTGCGACAATCTTAATAAATTTCAAAGCAACTCAATCTATATCCTATAATATTTACAAAAACATAAATATTAAAATAATATATTTCATAAAAAAATAGCCCCGCGGTGAATTTCTAGTCAATAAGTAAATTTATTTTTATTTTCTTTATAAAAAGAAGTAATCAACAGTCAACATTCGCTCTGTTTTCGCTTCCAAATAAACAAACAAATAAATCTAATTCTTTCGCACTCTCTCTCTTTGCTTGCTGGTGGTGCAAATGTAGGTTAAGCTTAAAAGAACTGATCGGAGATTAACAACAATGGCTAAATGTCACCGGAATAACATCGGATCTCTCATTCTTGACCGTGCTCCTTCCACTTCTTCTTCTTCTACTTCCGGCAACCATTTCCGTCTCTGGAGCACCTTCTCTAGATCCACATTCCGCAGAAAGATCGTCGACGCCGTTAGTTGTGGCGGTAGCTCACGTTACCGTCACGAGCTCCGGGAAGAGGACGATGAAGGAAGTTACGTGACGGTGACGGCGAAGTCAACAGTCGCATCGAAGGATGCGAAAGCCAACACGATCGGCGCGGCGTTGAACGGCGTAGCGTTCGAGGAGAAATCGAAGAAATCAGAGAAGCTCTGTGATCTGTTGAATCTAGCTGAGGTTGAAGCTGATGTTGAGACGAAGAAGAAAGAAGAAGCTCTTGAGGTGTTGAAGCGCGTGGTCAGAGAGTTACAATCAGCTGCGGCGGCGCGTGGTGATAACGATGACGTCGAAGACTATCGGAAGAAATTAACGGCGGCGAGTGAGGTACGGTTGTTGGCTAAGGAAGACTCGGAGGCGAGAGTGACGTTGGCGATGCTCGGTGCGATTCCGCCGTTAGTTAGTATGATCGACGACTCGAGAATCGTAGATGCTCAGATCGATTCGCTTTATGCTCTGCTCAATCTTGGGATTGGTAACGACACGTAAGTCTCACTTCCATTGCAAGATTTTAATCTTACATGACATTTTATTTGCCATTGTTGTTGTTTTGTTTATATATATGTTCTATATGAATCTTTTTGTTTGTTTGTTTTGGCGGAATAATTTATGTGTTTGTGTTGGATTCATTCGTTAAGTCACTTTCTATACCTTTATTTTTTTCCTGGAGTGATTATGAAGTATGGAACAATGTGCATAACTTGAAGCATTTATTTCAATCTTTTATCCATTTTAGACCTTCCCTGATTCTGAAGATTTTGCAGGAACAAAGCAGCCATTGTTAAAGCAGGTGCTGTTCACAAAATGCTGAAGCTAATTGAGTCTCCAAACGCTCCTGATCAAGAAATTGCAGAGGCTGTGGTTGCCAATTTTCTTGGATTAAGCGCTTTAGATTCAAACAAACCGATCATTGGTTCTTCGGGAGCGATAATCTTCCTGGTGAAAACTCTTCAGAATTTGGATGAAACAAGCAGCTCACAAGCGAGAGAAGACGCCTTGAGAGCTCTCTACAATCTGTCAATCTATCAACCAAATGTTTCATTCATACTTGAAACGGATTTGATCACGTATCTCTTGAACACATTGGGAGATATGGAGGTGAGTGAGAGGATTCTCGCTATCTTGAGCAATCTAGTGGCTGTCCCAGAAGGAAGAAAAGCAATCAGTTTAGTGTGTGACGCATTCCCGGTTTTAGTCGATGTACTGAACTGGACCGATTCTCCCGGATGCCAAGAAAAGGCGACTTACATTCTAATGTTGATGGCTCACAAGGGATACGGAGATCGACAAGCAATGATTGAGGCGGGAATCGAATCAGCGTTGCTTGAATTAACCCTTTTAGGAAGTGCATTGGCACAAAAGAGAGCCTCGAGGATATTAGAGTGTCTTAGAGTAGACAAAGGGAAGCAAGTCTTGGATAGTACCGGATCATGCGGAGCCTTATCCGCACCGATCTATGGGACCAGAGACAACGGTTTGGACCACGAGGAAAACGATTTGATGATGAGCGAAGAGAGGAAAGCCGTGAAGCAATTAGTGCAACAGAGTTTACAGAGCAATATGAAGAGAATCGTGAAGAGAGCTAATTTGCCACAAGACTTTGTTCCTTCAGAGCATTTCAAGTCACTAAGTTTGAGCTCCACTTCAAAGAGCCTACCCTTTTGAAAAATGTAAGTCTTCATCATTAGTCTCAACATTGCTAACTAATTAGATTGTCACATTGATAAGTTTGTTAACTTTCTTCCCAAGGCTTTATTGATTTGATGCTCTGTCTGTCACTCACTGACAGTGGCATCAAAATGTAAATTTGGGTGAGATTAGGGGGCATTGACTTAGTCTCTCACATGCACTTCACCAGTTTTTTAGTCTTCCTCGAGACCCCACCCACATAGCCCGAATCTTAAAATTACAATATTGCCCATCTTCCTTAACTAAAGTGTCGGTCATTTTCTTCCTTTGAAGTATGGCTTGGTCCACTCTTGCATTTGCTTTTATTGTTTGTATTTAATTTTATATTTATGTCTCTGTAAAATATATTTCCAAATAGTAGAGTTTTGGAATCTTTTGATAGATTATTTTTATAGTTGTTTTTCGAATATAAAATAGTGTATATGCCTGAATAAACAATGTGGCGGCGTGGTGTAAATTGGATCTGTCGATCTAACTACATTTTTGTTTGTTATTCTTTTGTTTTGTAGCGAAAATTTTACTCAAATTCATTTATAATGGATATAAAATAATCAAGCATCACGTCTTGCAGGTGTCATCATGATTCATGAAGCATTTCTACAAAAATAATAGAGAGAAAGACACATATGAGCTGATTTAACAAGAGGAGCTAAAAACAAGAAGAGTGTTGTTGCTTCGGTAGATCTCATCAGCTTCTGAGGTATGCGACAAATTTGCTCAGACACAATCTAATATAATGCATAGTACTCAAGGTACGGTGTGTCGTTGTGTTGTAGTTCATGTGGAGTTACCTTTTTTTTTGGTTGAGTTATTGGTTTTGTTAAAAGTAAAAAAGGCAATTGGTCTACTAGGCTTAGTGTGAAAAGTATGTTATAAAGTTATGGACTTTGTTAGCTTTTACTTTTACCAATTTTATCAGCTTTTTAACTATTATTATATGGTGTAAATATCTTTTTCCTCGCTTTATTGAGTCATCCTTAAAAAAACTTGAGTAGGTTTATATTTTTCTCTTTTGTTAAAAGAGTAATGCTTATCAATTTATCATCGATGTGTACATTGTAAAAACCCTACAAGTTTTTAAGGATGGTCCAAATTTGAAATAGTACACGTCTAAAATAATTAACAACATAAATGAAAGGTGGGAGAGGCATGTGGGAGTGTGAGTGCTTTCATTAAAGAGTCTACTTTACTTAAGTTTAGATATGATTTAATGTTATGGAGAACACTCTTCTTCGGCTACTAAAAGCTGCACTAGCTGTCTATGAATATCGACAACATTCTTATCTATTGCCAATTCATTTCCCAATATCTATCTATAATATAGGTAGTGTTGTCAACTCGAGTAATCTAAATTTGACATATTAGTATAATCCTTTTCTAATAGTTCGATCTGATATTTAAATATCACATTGTATATACTTCTCGTATCTATCCTCTTTTTTTGGGGGTTAAATATCTGTCCTCTTTTACTGTATAGTTTAAACATGTTACAAATACCTGGCAATTTGACTATTTCTAAGTGACTGATTAGTAATAGAGAGGCGTAGAATCCTCTCAGGCTCTCATTCACACCGTTAGAGAGTGGTTCGATATGAAACGGGTATAAGTCTCTGTAACCACTTAAACTTGTTGCTGTCTTCTTCCGTGGGAATGCATGCGAACTCAAACGATTCCCCAATAAGAGTCGTCTTCGCTCTTCACCTACACCGACGCCTACTAATACAAGTGCTTTTATCATTTCAACATTGTTGTTTACTACACTATAATTTGGTATAAGAAGTAATGTGTTTTTTTTTTTTCACAGAAAATATGCTTAGATGGGTTTTCTATAAGGTCTTACTAGAAAATACTATCTATTAAAAAAAAAAATTGATGACAACATTTAACGTATTTTTTTCTTGCGATCTAGTGATGTACTTTCTGAGTGAAGAATACGTTTGTGAGAGGATGTAGCCTACCTACCAAATTATCACTATTTTTATATTTATGGTTTGCATACAAACCTTCTTCTGGGCTTCACGACGATGCCAGTGAATCTGATTTGGGCCTACCTTTTGACTTTAAACCATTTAGTCTAACATATGGGTTTCTGAGCAGCCTAGCTATTGGGCTGACACGCTTGAGGCCCTCAATATTACAAAGTGTTAATTAGCTAGAGACATGAGAGACAAAGGTTAATAGTAAACTGGAGGCCGTCAATATGTGTAGTTGTGTACATACGATAACAATGACTATAATATATAGTGTTAATCTTACAAAATTCAAAACTTATTTATCTGCTTTTGGATTCCGATTTCAGTTTTTTTTTTTTTTTAAACGGCGTAATATACTTTTCTTTCTTTCATCTAGTTTAAACTCGTTGAATCTTATATATGATTTCATGTTAAAACGATTGGATCGTCATTCGATCGGTTAACGACAAATTTAATAATCTATGTTTCTTTTTTTAGAATTCTATCTATACCTACTTCCAAGTTCCAACATTGGATTGATTTGAAACATCCAAATATACCTATTATCCAGTGTTCAAGAAAGCGCTAAGCGCTAAGCGGGCGGTGACCCAGTGCCTAGCGCCTAGAACGCTTAATCGGGGCCTAGGCGATTTTTTAGGCGGTTTAGACGTTTATAACATAAAAAATTATAAATATAATATTATATATAAAAGTTATATAAAATATCTATATAAAACTAAAAATTATGAAATTATAAACAAAAACTAGATAAAACATTTATTTATATTTATATTAAAAAATATATGAATATTTATAACTATATATAAAAATAAATCTCTAATTGAAATTGAAAAAATACATTAAACAAGATCTATGTGATTTTAGGCGGTCAATGCGGTAATCTAGGCGTCGCATGAGAGCCTAGCGTCTAGTCGGGGCCTAAACGACCGCCTAGACCGCTTTTTAGAACACTGCTATTATCAAAACAATCTAATATAGAATCGTATAAAGTAAATAGTGACAAAATCTTATTAAAATTGAATCTTACCAAATTCTATTTTTTTTAATATGTTAACTACAAAGTTAACAATATATATATATATATTGAAGATTTGATCCTATACTCATTTTGCCTTTTTCATATGCTTCATGTGAGCTTTTATATTTGGTTGATAAAAAAGCAAATAATAATAATCATATAAAAATCGGATTTGAAAGCACATAATGAGCTAACCTGAGTTTATAATCTTAAGTGAAATCCAAACCAAAGGAAAAAAATCGCAATACTGGATTCCCTTGATTTTTGGATTCCATTTTTTCTAAAAAAGAGAAAATAAATGAAGAAACACATCTCGTCAAATAGACGACCAACTAATAAATTGCCGTACACCAAAAATTAAATACTTCCCAATTTTTTTTTTAAAGATTATAGTAGTATATATCTTTTTAACGGCGCTTGAGGGCTCTCCTATTTTTCTTTACTTTTTTTTTTTTTTTCTTTAGTTTTTCTGTAAACTGTTAAGATTGAGAGAGAGAGAGAGAACAAAGAAAAAAAGAAAAGAGAGAGAGCGGAGAGGAAAAAACCCTAGCGTGTTGTTCAGTGACTTTGGGGGGAAAATTTCTCCTAGTTTCTTCGCAAAATCCGTCTTCTCATCTCTTTCCATTTGTGGAATCGATGGAAGCTTTAGGTTTTTCATGCTGAGAAGTCTGTATTTTCGAATCTAGGGTTTGTGGAGAGATCTATTCAATTGTAGATACGCAAGAGCGAAACGAGTCAGAAACCAAGGAGAAGGAGTCATGTCGGATTCTGATAAAGATCTCGAGAATCAGATTCTTGAAGCTGGAGAAAAGCTTATTGACCCACCTTCCTCACTCGATGAGCTTCTTTCTTTCCTTGACGTGAGCTCTCATCTCCTTTTCTATGTTTGTGTTTTCTTTTGGTCTTCTTCTCCGGATTCGTGGCAATGCTAAGTCTGTGCATGTGTTGACTGTCGATTTCTGGATTTATTGCTCTGCGTCTTTGTCTCTTTATACTGTTTCCTTCGTTTTTTGCTCTGTGAATCTACTCAATGCTATTATTCCTGCCTTTTAGATCTTGGTTACGGTTGTTTCTCAGTTTTTGGTAGAATCTAGATAATACTCCTTCAATCTGCGTTGTTAAAAGCATGTATCTATTAAGGGTGGAATTGTTGTTGAATTCTGGTTTACAGCGAATGTGATTTTATTTACTGTTGAACTCTTATGTGATGTGAACTGGTTCTCTTGAATGGTGATGCATATTTTTTTCAACTCAGTTTCAAGTGTGTGGTGGGGATTTTGGAGTTTGTGAGTTTGATGATTCTTATGCTTCTTGCTGCAGAAACTTTTCGTATCCCTGTCGGAGGTTGAACAGTCACCTCCCGACTCAATGCAGAATGCACTCTCTCCATTGATGAAAGGATTAGTCGGTGGAAAACTCTTCAAGCACTCGGATGTCGATGTGAAGGTTGCAGTCGCTGCCTGCATCAGTGAGATTACAAGAATAACTGCTCCGGATGCTCCTTATGATGATGACCAGATGAAGGTATGTAATTGTTTGGTATTTTTTCTGAAGGGAATGGGCATTATACCGGTTGGTTACTGACTCTTTTCATCTATTCATGCGCAGGAAGTATTCAAGTTGATCGTATCATCATTTGAAGATCTAGTTGACAAATCTAGTCGTTCTTATACCAAAAGGATCTCAATTCTTGAAACTGTGGCTAAGGTCAGATCATGTGTTGTGATGTTGGATCTTGAGTGTGATGCGCTTCTTATTGAGATGTTCCAGCATTTTCTGAAGGCTATAAGGTACACGCTAATATATCTATTATGCTAGCATTAAACTCTTTTTTTTTTCAACTTGTAATGTAATGTCCAGAAAATACACAGACATGGACTTGTCTACTTGTTTATTTCCCTGTTGTTCCTTTAATTCCTTGTGTCACGTTTGATTAATGGATGTTCTTGTTCTCATTTGATATCATTTTCCATGGACTATGATGTGCTACTTTACTTTATGTACTCGCAATATAGTTCACAACTAGTCTATTGCGTGTTGCTTATGTTTGCTTGTACAACATCCAATAATCATGTTTGTCTGATGTTGAATTTGTTTACCCTTTCAGGGACCATCATTCAGCGAATGTATTTTCATCTATGGAGAACATAATGACCCTTGTTTTAGAAGAAAGCGAGGATATACCTTCAGAGATGCTTTCACCATTTCTACATTATGTTAAAAAGGATGATGAGGTATGACATGGGTGGTCTACTAATTTTATATCAGCAACCAATGCTATTTTCTTAAATCTTTCAACTTATCATCAGATTTCCCAAATATCACGGAGGTTGGCAGAAAAAGTTCTCAGTAACTGTGCTAGCAAGCTCAAAACTTATCTGACTGAAGCAGTGAAATCCTCGGGTGTCCCTTTAGATAAGTATGGTAACATAGTGGCTTTGATATGTGAAGGGACATTCAGTGCTTTGCAAGAGGACCAAGTTTTTGCAAATGAAAAAGAAGTAAGCCTTATTTCTCACCTTGTTTACTGCCGCACTGCCTCAATTTATGGTGGTTATGCAGGTCTTCCAGTTACATTAACTCTTATACTGTTATTCCATTTTTTTCCTCTGCAGGATAGCGAAGGTCATATATCAAGGGAAGCGGAAGTAGAGGTGTGTTTTTCTTTCCCTAACCCCTGAAATTGGTTGATCTGTATGAAAAGGATAGATGCCTTTCTTCTTTTCGCTTGTGTAGAATGTTTATTGATTTTAATGTTCCAATCAAAACATGTTAAACAGAAGGCAGCAGAAATTTCTACCCCTGAGCGAACTGATGCACCTAAGGATGAATCTGGTAAGTCTGGAGTTAGCAATGGTGTCGCGCAACAGAATGATTCTTCGGTTGATACTGATTCCACAAAGAAGCAAGACGATACGAGTGCCAAAGATGAGCCGCAACAACTTGATAATCCTAGAAACACTGACTTGGATAATACTACAGAAGAGAAGCCTGATGTTGAACATCAAATTGAGGAAAAAGAAAACCAATCCAGTTCTGTCAAACATGCGGATTCATCAAAAAATTCAGATATCAAA